CCCCAAAACCCCAAAACCCCAAAACCCCAAAACCCCAAAACCCCTAATAATTAGAAAAAAATTGAATTTTTTAAATTTCTAGAAAAGGAACAATGTTTCTTTATTAGAAGTCAAGAATTCAAGCTCATTCTTGTCTTTTATTACATCGTCATCCATCGGAGTTCCGGTTATTTCCTCTGCGTTGATGTCTTCATAAAACTTAATTGAAATATCAGGTTCGACCTTTGGAGGTTCAGGCTGGGGTTGCTGGTACTGGGCGTAATAGCTTGAGTAATCGTAGCCTTGATAGCCTGGGTACCCAGGGTACTGTCCTTGGTGGCAAGGCTGCTGGGGGTACCCGTAGCCGTAGTCGTACTGTCCGGAGGTATTTTGGGGTGCATAAGAGCCATATGAGGGAGGTTGGTGGTAGGGGTAAGCCTCAGAGTGTTGGTAAGCATTAGGATCTTGGTAGCTGTCCTTTCCGTAGTTCTTCAAGTCGTGGGTGGTGTATGTGATTGTTGGATCAGGAATGTGGTAGTAAAATTTGGATGAGAGAGATTCGTCAGAGGCTCCACCTGCCATATTCTGGTTAAGCTTCATTGCAGCGTTGATTAGGTCTACTTCATCATTTTCTTCGTTTAATGCAACATTTGCCTATAATTTTATGAACGAAAAACTTACTGCAGAGCTAGTGTATGTGTACTTGTGATAAGCAGGAGCTATCGGGTCTCCCAATTCATGAGTATTTGCCATGCTTGTCCATGTAAATTTGAATTTTCTAAATATTACTCTCTAAGACATACTTAGAAATGCCTGGTAAAGGAGTATCTTGGAATCTCTCGTATACTGATCTTGCATGCTCGTGGTTGAGAAACTCAATATATCCGTAGCCTAAATTGGTAAAATTCTGTCGTATATATAAAATAAAAAACAAGAACCCATAAAGTACTGAAAAATTACCTGCTGGAGCATTTGATATTCTATCCTTTGCAATCTTGATATTAACAACTTTAGCTATAGATATAAGTCAGATAAGGTTAAATGGCTCATCCTTATGAATTAAATTTACCCATGGATGTCTTTTGCTAAATAAAATTAGACAAACTTACAAATCTTGGCAAATATGTTTCCTAGATATCTTTCTGTCATCCAAGGCTCAAGGTCACCAATCAGTAACGTTCTCTGGTCGGCCAAGCCTAATGTATAGCTTTCTGTGAACATCTATTGGAAGTAAAATAATTATTCTATAATTTATATTAACTGTGGGGTTTTGGGGTTTTGGGGTTTTGGGGTTTTGGGGTTTTGGGG